GTCAAATAAACATCCTTTCATGTAACGTCATCAGTTTCTAAAATCCAAATCTAAAGAGCCACCGAAGTTTTTATCCTCATCAGGCATAAGAGGCGGTAAATTATGATCTGTTGACAATTTTACAGCTCAATCGTGTGCTTTGTTTGGAAACCAGCGCATTTTGAATTTCAGAGTTATGGCGATGCGTCACAAAGCTACGATCGCGATGAGTGTCGAAAAGTACATACTTCTCTCATGAGTTTTAGCCTTTTTAGAAGTTAGAGAAGTGGGAAAAGTGCTCATGTAAAAACTTATTTGTTCAGTACAGATGATCAGTCGCCTAGATAGCCAAAGTACGCTCCAGATGGTTACACTCTTTTCTGGCCGCCATATTGGTGTACCACGGAGGCCTAGTACACACCAACATAGCGTTTCCATACTGGACTCTGCAAATTTCTGCGAAACATTTCGACGAATATCCCAAATTTGGGAAAACGCAGAGCCCTTAAACTTGGAGAAATGTCGTCTTTATTTATTTCCTACGGCATCGCAAGCTTTTAATTTTATTCACTGAATGGTTTTCGATTTATTTATTTATTTTTTATTATTATTTTTTTGTTGTTTTTTTGTTTTTTGTTTGTTTTTTTTTTTGCCTGACTGTGAAAACGATTTAAAATTCCTCTAAAATAACTAATGCCCTGTTTAAACGTTTGGCTATCGTCAAGTCGGACACAATTATATATATAAAAGGGTGGTCCATCAAATTATTGATGGGAGGTTGCTCAATTTTTAGCTGCTCAATATTTGCTTTGCTTGTCTGCGTTACTGGCGGGATTTCACACGCGAGTGCTTTTGCAGATTTCAGAAAGGAAATATAGAGAATCATCCAAACAAATGGTAGCAACCATTACAGGAACGTTGACTTCAGATACTCTCCAAGGAATACAGTACTGTGTTTTGTGACTTCGAATGACATGTAACTACCCCGTTAAAAGGAATTCTTACCTCTACTGGTATCTCACAACAAAATTCATAGTTGATTAGTACAATTGATTATCGCAAAAAAAGTTACCAGTGAAATGCACAGGCAAGTGCAATCGGATAAAAGGCAAAGGAAGCAAGCCTTCACCTGCATGTATACCTCGCTCCTTCAGCGTGCGTATAGTAAAGATCCGTTCTTTTGGTACACAAAGCGAACAACGAAACTTAGTACAAGGTAAGATATGTGAAGGCTGACCTTGACTAACCTTTTCGTTGACTGATGGCCAGCCATGGATGATCACGAGACAAACACAAGACATACTAAAAATTCCAGTTAAGTAATGAACAAATTTACC